AGCTGACTGCTCTGCGGACCCCCAGCTGCCTGGATCAGGCAATGAGGCCACAGGCCGATGGGAGCCAGGGAGCGTGGCCAAGCGGGAAGATACTAATGCTAAAAGCCGTAGGTCTAAGCCAAGGACGAGTCCATTTTGAGAAGGGTCAGGTGACCTCAGAGAAGGGAAGAGGTTAAAGGAAATGGCACTCTTTCTCTGCTATGTACGTGCAATTCAATTGCTAGAGGTGCGGGTGCTTCAGAGACAGAGAGGGAGCACCCGAGGGCCGAGGCCCCCCGCAGTCCCTCTTCCATCTATCCTGTCGGACTCTGCACACCTGCCCAGTGTTCAAGCTGCCAGGGCCGGGTCCGGGGTCACCTGTGTGGGGTGTGCTAGGCCAGGGGCTTGTAACTTACACCCACCTCCCTGGAATGGGTACCAGGAAGGCCCCCATGGGAGCAGCCGCCCCCAACCAGCCTGAGCTGCGAGTTCTTCCGGCTCCTCAGCGCTCTAGAAACTGCTCCCAGAAGCTGGCCTTGCTGTAAGCGATCGAGTGGAGGCAGAGGGAATCTTCCTCTCGCGGGGCACGGGAAGTCCAAGTTCTGGGCTCGGGTGGGGTTGTGGTTGGCTGTGGTGACCAACTCGCAAATCGGACACCACCTGGGCCTCAATTTACAACAGGGAGCACTCCCTGTTCACCAGGATTCCTCACTCACTCACCCCACCCAGCCGATTCCTCCATCTCCTCGTCAGGCCATCTTAAAGGGTACTAATGAGGGCTGGCAGGTGGCATGCTGGTTAAGGGCTCTGGACTCCTACACAGCCGACCGCGGTTCAAGTCCCAGACCTGGCGGCTTGCTTTCTCACTTTCTCTTTTCCCTCTCAACTCTGTCTCTCTCTGGTCAAATTAAAATAAATAAATAAATAAATAAACAAGGAAGAAAAAAGGTATTAATGAAATGTACTGTGCACTCCTGCAATTTGTATACTGGCAAACTTTCTGCCCTTTTAACGCTGGGGCAAAGAGACAAGACACTTGGAAAATTCACTTTCATCCTATATTTGTAATTTACTCTTTTTCTGAACAGTTAGAAAAAACAACACACACACCACGACCCTAGGCTGTGGACGTATTGGTCCGGGGACTACACGTCGCCGTGACAGAAGCACACAAGCAGCGCAGTCAGCACGGAAGCGCCCGGAGGACCCAGCTCGCGGGGGCTCCCACCTGGGAGGCCAGGCCTGTCCCCACAGCCAGGACCCACTGACCACCCCCGGATCAGTCCGGGCGGGCTCCAGTCCTCCGATGGGGGTTTCCTCGATCCTAGTCAAGCTTTCTGTTACTGTCCAGGCGCGGGGAGGGCTGGCGGGCCGTGCTACGGGACAGAACCGTCCGCGGCCCTGACCCTCGCTGGCCACAGCCGCTGGAGCCGCGAGCACGGGTGCTGAGCTCTCAGCAGGATTTCTACCCACCTGGAACCCGGAGCAGCGCTCATGCTTCTCCTTCCTCAGCGCCGAAGATGGCCACAGGCTGCCTTCGGGTGAGGGCGAAGGAGGCGATGCCCGCTTTGATTCCCGACTCGCGGTCCTGGCCCCGCTGGGGAGCGGGCGGTGCTGGCAGTCGGGGCTCTGGTCTGTCGGTGACGGGCTGTGAGCTGAGGCTGAGGCTGGCGGTGGATTCAG